ACTTGAAATCGTGACTTTAATGGATTTTCTTGGTGTTCAAAATGTGTCTTTAGGTTAAATTTTATGAAAAATTTCTCTTCAGACCCACTCAGGTCTGTCCTTTTACCATTAAGTATTTCAATGGAGTTGGAATATCCTCTTCAACAAGTGTTTTTCACATTTATCAGATAAACTAATTTAATAATAACAATAATGATAATAATGATGATAACAACAATGTTGTAAAATTAAATTCACAGGTCTGTTCCATCTGAAATGAGCCAGCTCCTCATCCAGACTCTTGTGCATCCTAAAGGACCTGGTCAAATGTTTGGGATGCAAAAAAACCACTCAGGCAATAGAAATAAAGAGGAGGAAAGACGGAGGACTCAAGGTGCTCAGATTGAATTAGGTCATATTTATTATTGGAGCATCTTGAAGGAACATCTACACTTGTGACCCAGAGGACCCATAATCCTGGGTTGAGACTCTTTATTTTCAAACCCAGCTATATAAATGTCAAATTTCTGTTAGGGGTGATGATCCCAGTAAGACCCAAGGTGTAAGACTCTTCTCACAGCATCCTCAATTCACTTGATTTATGCCCAAGTTGCCTTTTTCTCTGCTGGTGTTCAGCAGTTCCCACAGGACAGCAGATCTCACTCACTCCTGTCCTCAAATATCTGCATGACCACTCCATAGTCACCAACCACAACACCTCAGTCAGGTAAATCCTGCGATGTTGCTTCTGTTCCCTGGCTGGAAACACACCCAAACACCTCCTGGAGGAGCACAGGAAACCCTGTTAATTTAACACATCCCTTTCATGCCTGGGACACCCACACCTGCACCAAAAAATCAGGAAAACACTCTTGGTGATAATTTAGAGAAAAACCAAGTTCAGGAACCTCAGAAGTGATCTCATTAAAATCAAACAAACTGCTGGTGCTTGACATAATTAAGGGTGTTTGATTTGGCTCTAGAGCAACGAAACAGCTACACGCAGAAAAGTGGTTGCAGCTTTTGTCCTTACAAATAGGAAGCATCATTTATTCCCTAGCAGCTCTGTACCAATCCCTTTCTGTTAAAATCTTTCAAACATTTCTTCCTCTTCACTTTTCCTGGCACTGTAGAGCAAAAGCAATGTTTGACAGGTATTAATTTTGAAAACAAATGGTAGATTTTCAGATCAGCTGCTGACGAGAAGGCAGGGAGAGAGCAAATTGCAGGTTGCTTTAATTGCAAACTGGGAATTTTATAAACAAAATACACACAGAGTATCATTTATAATCATGATCCAGGCCAGAGCAATAATTATGATAAATCCTTTGTCAACCCTACTAAGAAGTCTTTTATGAAGTAGTAGGGGATTAATTCACATTCTAGACAATGGTTCAATAAAATGCTTTCCAGCTTCTCTGACATATGGAATTCCACATGGGCTGCAATCAGATGTTCCCCAAAATGGCACTTTTTCATTGCTTAACTCCTTGACAGTTTAACATAAACAAGCACTGAATTCATTAAGCTGCAATTTTTAAGCTTTCTAATTAACTGAAACAGCTGAAGTTTGAGTCTTCAAACACATGTTAAAGGCTTAATTTTCAAGACATAAACCACTGTAAGACCTGCACTTTATTAACATTTGAGGTGTTCAGCAGAGAACCTTTCCCTGTGTTGTTCTTCATGGTTCTGCAAAATGTAGACTTACAACATTTTAACATGAAGTCATTCACAAAAGAACAAAATATCTTGTTTTTATAATGAAAGGCATTATTGCTTTGATTTAGAAACGGAACCTTTTTGACTATGAGCTCCCTGACATTTTTGTCCAATCTTATCAGACTATTTTCATTGCTTCGTTAAATGTCCTGTGGCTTCCTTAACAACACTTAACTAAACTTAACTAAATTATACTAAAGGTATTTAAGCACTATTTCTCAAAAACCAGCCAGCTCTCTACTCTGTGTGATTCATGTCACATTCACAACAGTCCATTCAATATTTTGGATGCTGTCTTGACCCCAGAGAAGGGTCTTTTGACCCATTAAAGTCTTTTAATCTTTGCCATGACTTGGGAAATGTGCTTCTGGAAACAACTAGGCTTTAATCCTTCTACAGTCTTAAGTATTAAAAAAAAATGGCTTTAAGCTGAGAGAGGCAAGATTGGATACTAGGAAGAAATCCTTCCTTGTGAGGATGGAGAGGTTGCCCAGAGAAGCTGTGGCTGCCCCATCCCTGGAAGTGTCCAAGGCCAGGTTGGACAGGGCTTGGGGCAACTGGTCTAGTGGAAGATGTCCCTGCCCATGGCAGGGGGTGGAAGGACATGAGCTCTAAGGTCTCTTCCAAACCATTCCATGATTCTTTGATACATTTTCTTACACAGCAAAAATTGGGTAGGTCAGGTGACTGATAACATGTCATCATCCCTTGGACCTGTGTGACCTTTGCTTGCAGCCAGGCAAGACCAGAAATGACCGGAACACTGCAGATACTTGGTTGCTCTAAAGGTGTTTTTAAATTCAACCCCTTTGAACTGGATTTGGTCATCTTTTAATTCTTAACCTGAAGTAACCACAGCAAGAGCATCACTTGAAATGAGGGCACACACAGTGTCTCTGTGACCTGAGGACCTCATAACCATGGCACCACAGCAAAGATGTATCAGAGTTGATGGAGGGGAGAAAGCCGTTTTTACTCTTCCTGTCCCACCAGTTATGGATGGAGTCCATTGAAAACAAGTCTGACGTGACCTCTGCCATTTCATGAGACATTGAACTGAGCTGTGCTGGGACTTGTCTTGCTCAGCACAGATGGTAAGCTGTGCCCTCTTCTTTCACATGAGATAACAAATCTGACCCAGGCACCAGGTGCTCTGTCCTGCCTGTGGGTTTATGTGTGAAATGTGAAGAGAGGAGGAAATGGCAGGAAGTGAAGCACCATCAGCAAAACTTTCATGTGGGTTTTGTTCCCAGGAAACCACTTCCTCTGTTTGTACGGGTTGGAACAGGGATGGGACTGCATGGGGACTCTCGCTCTCAGCTAATTTAGCCAAGCCAGGAAAGCCATGGCACCCAACAAAAATCAAAGGAGGCATTTTTCTTTATTATTATATGTTTATCTGAATTCTGCTGTCATAGAGTTTTTGTTGCATGGGAATTTCCCTCCTCTTCTTTTTCCTTTCTTCCCCTCCTTATTTTTTTTTCCTGCCAAAACTGATTACAGTGAAATAAATTTTCAAGAGTTTGGACCAGAGAAAAAAAGCCCAAAATAAACTCTTGTGAATGGGGAACTAACAGATGGATTTATACCATGGAGGAGCACAACAATGCACAACTGGACTAATACTTGGATAAATGACATGGTTCCTTAGTGCTGCCTGATCTCATTGATCACTTGCCTACCGAGGATAGGGCACCTTCCAAAAGTATAAAGCCCAGTAGCTTTCTGGAAAGTTCTGGCAAATTCTTTTGTACTCAGGTAAAAATACATCTACATCTATGCACACTAGTATCTAGTAATGTTTAGAAGGTTGATTTTCTTTTAGTTTTTTAAAAGAAAAGTATTTAGTGGCTGAAAATGAAGAGAGATCCCTGAAGCCTCATGTCCCAAGGGGCATCTGGAAATGCACAGTGTGGAGCTTACACTGGCAAGACATGGAGCTGTCAAGGGCTGGGAACTGCTGCCTTTCCCTGCTGACCCAGCATCCAGCCACTGGGATGGTGGTGTGTCTCAGCACAAAAAGCTCCCGGAGTGGGAAAAGGGATTTCAGTGGTGCAGTGTCACCTGCCAGCTTGCAAAAAGCCAAACCCAAGCCAAGCCGCATCCCGGGGCCAAAGGCTTAGCAAGGTTAGTCACCAGCAACCAGAGCATCCCAAATAAACACTGACGTGTTTTTTGTTCCCAGGTTTGGTGGTTGCACTCCTTGAGCAGGGAGTGGACAACCTCCCTGGAGTGCCTCAGGATTTGGTTTGGAGTTAGAAGTAAGGCCTTAAGTCAATTAACAGCTGTTGGAAAAATCCATGCTAGGAAAGACATGGGCAAATTATGAGCGCAACCACAGCTCACTTTGGCTGGGAGAGCTGGGGATGGTACAGGGGAGGACAGATCAGGACCTGGAGCTGCATCCCAGAGCAGCACTGGGAAGCAAAGAGCAAACTAGCTCTGAAATTGCTGCTGCCCTGTCCTGTACCTGCCTTCCTCTTCCTGCTCCTCTCCATGGGGATGCATCATAGCTGGAGACCAGAGAATAGCTGGCAATTGCTCTATTTAGAGGATAATTTTAATCTCTTTTTCTGTTCAGGATCATGGCCAGGCCAATCACTCTGCTCTCAAAGGGCATTTGATCAACACGGTGTGTGAAATGCTTTTTCAGGTATTTTGCTGAGCACCCTGACTGCAGATGGATAAGCACAGTGGATCCATTTATGTTCCTCAGCTGGAAGAATGTGGGTCATTTCTGGTGTGAACAGTTCCACTTAGCAGCATAGAACTTTAATTCCTGAAAAATGTGCTGTTGTCAGATAGAAATCATCATTCCCTGGACATTAGCTCTGGTGAAATCCAAAGTAAAATGGTTGATGGTGACAGCAGAGCAGCCTGGGGAACCAAGGGTGATGATGGCACTGCTGTCAAGGGAGGGTTTGGGATGCATGAAACTTGCCTCCTTTTCTGAGTCTCTGGTATTGTCATCCCACCCCAATCCCACCACAATTTCCCTTGTTTCTTCTCTGTGATGTGGAAAAAGCTGTTCACTGTCATGTGTCCCTCATCCTTGGTACAGCAAAATTTGGTTTGCCTCCATCTCATTCTTTTTTCCCCCCAGTGTAATTGTTTAGGCTGGTGCTGATGTGCAGACCCATTGATAAAATTTAAAGACTAGAAACCAAATTGTGCCAAGGAGCACATATTTCCTTAACTTTGAGCCATTGTTGGAGGTGGTTCTGATCTTCCCCACCGCTCACAGACAGGTTTAACAACCTGCAGAATGGTTTTGCTTTTGTCACTTGTTAATTGCAGATCACTTCGTAACAAACCCCACCGTGACGGCGAGAGGGAAATTCAGAAAAGATTTAGAAGACTCTGCTTGTTTTAAAGAAAACAAAATTTCACAGCTCCTCGCTCTGCTGTGTTATCCCTGTAGGCCAGAATCATCCTGGGTGAGGCTGCTCCAGCAAGGTCTTGTGGTTTTGCTAAGAACAACAGACATGGGATAATTACACAAATAGGTCCCGACCTCCAGCTCCCTCTGATCTCCCATTACATCGAAGTGGTTTGGATCAGGATCAGCACCATAACTCAGGCTGAGGTCCTCTCCATCGAGGTGAGGATGGGGTTTGTCCCTTCACTGTGTGGCACTGCAGGTATTTGGATAAGACGACGCTTGGTAGGAGTTTTTATTGTCTGAAATCACATGAAATCTTGGGAGCAATAAGGTGAAATCCTGAGCTCTAATTTATTATTTGTTAATAGCAGAATAAAATGCTTGAGAAAAAAGGTAATAGGTAGAAAATTGTTAGTAAAAGTTCTTTTTTTCTTGCTTAGGTTCTCTTTCCCTCAGGGCTTTCTCTGCTTAGCCATGAAAATACAGGTGTTGGATATAATTTTGGTGTTCAGGATTAAAATGGGTATTTATTATACAACTTTAGGCCTGATCTAGATCCACTGAAGTCACCAAAGCCACAGATGTCACTAAATCCATTTGTAATTAATTTCTTTCTTGTGTCCATGACACAACCTCCAGGTACAACCCAAGCTCTGGATGTTGAAGCTCCATCTGCTTCAAATTATGGATGGGCATTTTTCTTTTGCTTGTATGTGAGTTCAAACAAACATCACAAGGACTTTTGCACCAAAACAAAATAATGAAGGAGGACTAAAAAGAGTGTGAGGAAGGTGAAAATAATTAATTAGGCTGAAAAGCAAAATCAATCATTCCCTTCCTTCTTGACATTTTAGTGGCTAGGCCTGTCAAAGTCTTCTGAAAAGAAAGTGAAACCACCCCTATGCTCCTAAAACCAACAGTAAGTGACTTCAGCCTCATATTGTAAAGGATTTGGGGGAGACAATGACTTCTTTGGCTCACATATAGACACTACAAAGCATTTAGAGTGCCCCAGAAATTTTTACCTTCGTTAAGAAACCATATGCCCTTACTGGAGCACTTTTGTAAAACCGCGAGTAAAATGTAATGAGTTCAGCATTTTCATATCATTTTAATTTTCTTAGCTGATATTTGAGATAAAAGACAAAGCCTGCCTTGGTTTCAGTTCAGAGGACGTTCTGTACTATGGCTTCACTTTTCTGAAATACTGATCAAAGCAGAGCTGTGAAATCTTACTATCCCATTGCTAACTGCACTGTTGACTTTGTGCATACTTCCAAAATCCCTGCTTCCCCTTAGACCTTTCGACCACCTTATTAAAAAGGAAAAAAAAGCAAGATATTTGCATTTGGTACTGTTCAGTACTTTCTCGCTAGAAACGGCCTTGCCAGGAAGGTAAAACACAATTTTCCTGTTCTATAATTAAAGGAATAAACCTTTTCCATGGTACCTCCAAGCTCGCTCTGCTCTGAAACATGTGTGGTATCATTTTGCCTACTGTGAGGGATGCAGTTCATTAACCTTGGAGACACCCCCCTCATCAAAGGAAGGAGGAAAACATCTCACGAGTTTTCCCCTCAGATTCTCTGATTATATTAATCCCAGAAGATCTGAACTTCATTTTCTTCCCATCTGGGACAAGAATCCAGCAGGGAGAAGTTCAGGGTACCCAAATGTTTCCGTAACTGTCTCAAATAACTTCATGCATTTCAGCTCAGCAGCTGTGTAACCAAGTGTGGAGTCATGGGACTCCCCATCAGCCTCAATTCATCCCCATCCCTGGGTTCTCCTGGGAGAGGGAACATTGGGGGGGGGGCTGAAGGGTCCTGGGGCTCCTCACCCATCACCTGTATGGAGATGCTTCCTGTCACATTTTTCCCCAATAGTTTTCTCCCTCCATAATTTAGATTTCAAATAAAGAAAGAAAGGAGACGTGGTGTTGGTGAAGTGACAGTGTCAGGCACAGCAAAGATGCAACTGTCTGTGAAAGTGTCTTCCAGGCAAGTTTCCTGTCAGGGAAGCCACCAGCTGGACCAGTTAGACAGTGGGTGGTTTGAGGTGACTCTAAAATGACTCTGCTGCTCTTGGGGTGGTTTTCTGCAGTGGCTGTGGGGATTGCAGACCTACAGGAAGCCATAATTTTCATTTCAGCAAATTTAACATCCTGGGGACACCCTCATGGGTGGGGGTGATGATTCAGGAGCTGGATGGCAGTGACAGGAAACACACATGAATGTTGTATGGGGTCTAACGCCTCAGATGGGGCATCTGCTCAAGAGCTTTGGGCACACGGGCACCCTCACCCATAGCAGGGGACTCGTCTACACACGTGTGCAGGGGGTGACTGGGGGAGCTGACACTGTGTTCAACTTGTTTCTGTGGTCTCTGAACATCAGCCTTGAAGTCAATCTTCTTTCCTGGAGGAAAAAATAGTAGTTTTGACATTCCAAGAAATCCCAAAGGGAAAAATACTGAAAATTAAATGGGTTGGTCTCCGTCCAACTCACTTACTCATGGGAGATAAATGATTTCGTATGCTAATGACCATTCCCTCAAATCTCTGACATTTTCTTACAATGTACTTAAGTACAGTTTGTTTTGCTTTCTGTCTCCACAACAATTAGAAAGATTTATATTTTATTGCTCCAGTTATGTTTGCCAGGACCACACTTCCTTTCCTTTTTAAAGGCACAGTGATATTGTCTGGTACAAGGCACACAACAGAGCTTTCTGAACAGCTAAAATGAAAATAAACAAGGCTGAACTTATCTTGTGGAAGAGGGCAGACACTTTCTCTCGGCACAGCGAAGCCAATAAAGGCTTCTGGCTCTTTTCTCCTCGACAGATCAGTACACACAGAATCAGCAGCAGTTCATAAGCAAGACAACTCTGTCACCTTTTGTGATAACTTAAAATTAATTCCTCCTTCCAACGTGATTATGAAGGGCTAAAACCTGCCACCTTTCCAGGCGCTTCTGGTGGTACAGGCTGATTCCTTCAGTCCTACTGTTTGGCAAAGGGATGCGTGTGGAGGAGGGACTCCTGTGTTGGTGCAAGCTGGTGGAGGAACAAAGTCCCACTGTGTCCAGGGGCAGGTAGCACAAACGATGATTGTTCCCAGTGACACCTTTCCCTGCCTCCTCCACCCGTCTCCCAGCCCTCTGGGCGACTCACATCCCATTGAAGAAGACCCATGAGAGGAGGAGGACTTTTGTTTGTGGCCTCCCTGCTAGCTTTGCCAACCAGGATGCTGGTGTTAAATTAGCATTGCTGGGTTGAGACTGCAGGGAATGGAGCTGAGGTCATGATGTTTCAGCCTGGAAACCAGATAACCCAGGGCTGCAGTGGCACTCTGCCCATGGCTGTGTGAGGAGCCTTTTCCATCGCCCTGTGTCTGCCACGTCTGAGCAGCTCAGCACCACGAGAGGTGCTGAGCCCCCATGATGCTGCTGTGGCCCATTAGGACCCCACTGCCTGCCACTAATTACAGAATCACACAATATCACAGAATATGCTGAGATGGAAGGGGCACATAAGGATCATCGAGTCCAGCTCCTGGCCCTGCACAGGACCATCACCAAGAGTCCCACCATGTGCCCCAGAGTATTATCCAAATGCTTCTTGAGCTCTGTCAGCCTTGGTGCTGTGCCCACTGCCCTGGGGAGCCTGTTCAGTGCCCAACCACCCTCTGGGGGAAGAACTTTTTCCTGAGATCCAACCTAACCCTGCCCTGACACAACTTCAGGCCATTCCCTGGAATCCTGTCACTGGTCCCCGCAGAGAAGAGATCAATTCCAGCCCCTCCTCTTCCCGTCACAAGGAAGTCATAACTGCAATGAGGTCTCCCCTCAGTCTGCTCCAGGCTGAACAGACCAAGTGCCCTCTACTGCTCCTCACATGGCTTCCCCTCAAGGCCCTTCACTGTCTTCGTTGCCCTGCTTTGGACTCTCTCTAATGACTTCCTATCTATGCTTTTATTATTTTATGCCCCATGTTGTTTCAAAAGCATCATCCCCTTCTGCTGGTGTGGCAGAGAGCAGGGTGGTCAAGGACATCCTGATTCACTGACCAGGACTGGCTGCCCCAGCCGTGGGCAGTGACTGTGGGAGCCCTGCTGGTCCTTTGGAACACAGACCTCATGAGGGGTGGCCCTGGGTGTGTGAATTGGCTTCACAGCTCAGCTCCAGCCAAAAATGGGTTGCTAACAATGATCCCACGGCAGGTCGGACCCAGTCTTGTTTGCACAGACAGGGAGAATCCACTGATTGTGGCTTTCTTGGGAATCATTTGCAGTCCATGAGTAATGTGGACCACAAGATGAAAAAAAAAATAAAAAGGGAGTCTTAAAAAAGAAAGGAGAAAAGACAGTGGAGTCACTGTTTTCTGCTATGTGTTATGGACACCTTGAGCAACACCGTTACCAAAAGTCTCTGTTGAAATGTGCTCTACCAGTTTGGAAATGGAAAACCTGGTGAAACATCATGTCTCTAGATCCTTCTCTTTCAGGATCATCACCATTTGCATGGGTTGCATCTGAAAAATTCAAAGTGGTGGTGACTGCAGTCTGTGACAAACCTTTCCCCTCTCATTTAAGCAGGTTTAAGCTCTGTCTGTAGTTGGGAAACTGCATCATAGCTGGATGCAGTTCTTAACTTCTTAACTATCCTCTGTTTGAAATGTACATTATTTAGGCTAAGGAATGTGCATTGTATATCCTATATTATATATCCTTTATCATAATTTTCTCTATGGTTTGTAATGATGGACTCAGACCTGGAAATTCAGGTTTCGATTCCTTGCCCCTTTCTTAGACTTCCTGTATGACCTTGGGAAAGTCTCCTTATGCTTCCATTTATCACTCAGTACTTTGGGAAAAGGAAATAAGAGCACAGGATACTCTTTTGTGGGATGCAAAAGCTTATTGCCAAAATTTGAATGAGAAAAAATGCCGATCACTTCCACAGCTGATGAAAGAGCAGAGGGATGCCATGAAGTATGTTCAAAACTTTAATAATTCCCAGTGGTTCTAAAGATATTTTGGTTTTCTCACCACTAGTCAGCCTTCCTCTGCCATTTGTTCCTGGTGTCTTCCAGCAATTCCTTGTGCAGTGCTCATTGCATTGTCTTCATCTGGTGCCAGCTGAAATATGCAGCCATAATAAAGATATTTTATTTCAAAGCTTCACTCTCTGCTCATGGCCAGAACGTCTGAGTATCTTCCACTGTGTTTCTGCTAATAATAATAACAAAAAAAGGCAAATTGAAGAAGTGTCCTCAGCTTGTGTTCAGTCTAAGCTCTGCTTATTTGAGATGGCTTAGGGAGGAGAGAGGATTTTATTAATTGGATTCCACAGGTCAAGGTTGTTGACAACACCTGCCCCATGGGCTTGACACAGAGTGGGCTCAGAGGTTTCCAGCCCCACTGGTACAACATGTGATGGTGACAGTCCCAAGTGATGTGGCTGTGGCTTCCGTTTCCCGTCCTCCCCCTTGGTGGGAGTGTGGCCAGGCCACCAATGCAGGCAGCATCACCATTCAACAGAACAATAAAGTCTGGGCTCCTATTCCCAAAGGGAAAATGTAAATTGTAAGATCTTTCCTAAAAATATGGATTATGAAAGTGCATCCATTTCTATTGTCTTGGTGAAACATTGTGTTAACTGAGCTTAATCAAACACACATTATTTGCCTCCGTGGATGAAATTCTCTGGCCTGTGTTACCCAGGTCAAACCAGATGATCTAATGGTCCCTTTGGCCTTAAAATTCCCTGAAACAATGAAACATGGGTTTCATTAATGGAGCTAGACATTTGGAAGAATGAACTACACATATCCTCATAATACATCTTTCAGATTCCTATGGCATTTGTCCATCTTTTTGCCAGACTGCAGCTTGTGGAGTGAGGCAGGGCCCTGATCTCTCTCCCTTGGGAACAAACTCCTGACCCAATTTTGTCTATTGAAAGGCAGATGTCTGCACTTAAGAGTTAGACTTGTAGTCTCTTCCAACTCAGAATATTCTGTGATTCTGGGATTCTGTAATTGTGACCTTCCAATACCTGAAGAGAGCCTGCAAAAAGATGGATAGGGACTTTTTACAAGGACCTGGAGTGCCAGGGCAAGGGGGAATGGCTTCATATTGGCAGAAAGCAAATTTTAGATTAGATATTAGGAAGAAATTCTTCCCTGTGAGGGTGGTGAGGCCCTGCACAGGTTGCCCAGAGAAGCTGTGGATGCCTGTTCCCTGGAAGTGTTCAAGACCAGGTTGGATGGGGCTTGGAGCAATCTGGTCTGGTAAAAGATGTCCCTGCCCTAGATCATCTTAAAGGTCCCTTCCAACCCAGGCCATTCTATGATAATTCTAGCATAAGATGATTCCTGGAAATACAATCCCTAGGTATCTACTTGCATCCAATGAAGCATTGCTGGCTTGTTTAATTTCCATAATTCTGTGGAACAAGACCCTTTGTGCTTCTCTTGGTTCATCACTGAAGGGGGGAAGGAAAACAGAAGGTAGTAACAACTTGGCAGACATGGGGTTAAGTGTGAAGACATTCAGCAGTGAATGCCACCAGCAACAGATGGCACCAGGGGACACTGCAGCCATCACCTCAGAGAAGCCACATTCCCATGAACCAAGCCTCTCTCTCCAACTCCATCCCTTCCTGACCTCCTTGCTTAATGCCTGTGGATGTGCACAGCCACTGTGGGAGGGTTCCAGCCTCTGGGAGTCGTCTAATTTGTGTGAAAGACCAAGGGGAAAACAAAAATAGGCTGCAGAAGGATCTCATTGCACAAACCAGCCCCCCTGCCCGGCCCGGGGCAGGCTGTGATTACAGACAATACCTTCCGTATTTCTCAGAGGGAAGTGATATATCCTTCCCAAGGCAGGCCCATGACAGCTGTCATGCTTTGTGGCTGCACTGGGTATGTGGTGATGTCACTTCAGAGAAGGAATCAAAGATTGGCTTCGGTTTGAGGAGGTTTAGTTGTTTTGGTGTTTTTCAAACTTTGCCTTCATTTGCTTTTTGTTTTCTTTTTTTTTTTTTTACATTCAAAATTCACACAGAGACGTTTCCAAACCCAATCTCTCTCCAAGAGCCATCCGTCCCAGTTCCCTCTCTCCCTGTTGTCCCGTGCTGGCGCCGGGCACTGGATCCTTACTGGGAAATGGGGAGGTCACACGGTTTACTGTCAGCCACAGAGACCTCTTTGGCCACTGTGTGAATCACTCTGGAGAGAGTCTCATTTTCTGCACCACCTCCTGAAATGTCAGAGAAAAATAAAACCCACTGTGTGACTGTAATGAGGCATATTCTAGTCCTGTTTATTTTGTAGGCAAACAGCCACTACCAGCAAGCAACATTAGCTATAGGTTCCAAAAAAACCTCCTCTACCAAGGATATTGTGTGTGAAGGAGAACTGCCAAATTCTCCAGGATGGAATGTCGTTTTTTCCAGAGAATGGGCTTTTCTGGCACATCTTGAGCAACCCAGGGTCAGATGGCAACCAAGTGACTGACGCAGAGACCCCGTGCCAATGATGTGAGTGTCACCACTGCAAGGGGGGAAATCAGATGTAAGATGAGTCCTGAATCTCTGTCCTGCTCCCAAAAACCATTAATCTTCTTCTGAAGGAGGAACCATCCTCGTTTTGGCCTGGTGCCCAAGCCCATTCTGGCTTATCACTCAGCCAGGCCAGTCAGTCAACACCGGGAGTTTCCATATCTGAGGATGGGCTGCAGGAAGCCAAAATCTGTCACTTCTTTCCTCTGCCTCATTAGATCCTGCCTTTCACAGGATGCTGAAATCAAGGTCCCATGTGTTCAGGGACAGATAAATGGCTTCAGACCACCAAATAATGGAAATTCTAACACAAGGGCCTGTCTGTGGGTCTGATGTTTTCACACTCTCTGTTAGAACTTTACGAGGCAGTAAGTGCAAAAATTAAGAAAAAGTTTCACAAAAAAGTCCCAATTAACTTCTTAAAAGGGCTCTTGGGTGCAAGTCTGTCATCATGAGCATGGTTTGCTGGGTCTCAACATTATGGTCTTAATATTGGAAAGAGCTTCGGATGGGGACAGCAGGAGTGCTGTAAAAGGGAGGCATCTCCCACCTCACCCGTGGTGGCTGGAGCGCTTTGGCAAACATATTTCTGTAATTCAGGCCCCAACTTGTCAAAGTTTAGCCACCAAAACCCACCTGCAGCTTTCAAACTGAAATCGACCTGATCTCCATAAAAATGAACACCCCTGAGTGGTTTTATTTAAGTTTCG